CGGAGACCCGAGCAGGCGGGAAAACAGGTCTCACGGCGAGGCGATGGTCGGCATGCCGGAGAAGGCCCGTTCCAGGGTCTGCATCTGCTCGTCGTACGTGGGCCGAGCGCTGAGCAGGGCAGTGTCGACCGGAGGGGTCGTCGCCCCGGCAGCCGACTCGGTGGCCAGCAGCCGCGGCAGCGACGTGGCCAGGTCCGGCTGCAGGAGGTGGAAGTTCCGGTAGATCAAGTCCACCACGATGCGGTAGTGATAGAGGTCGAAGTCGAAGAGGCCGAGGCCCACGTCGCTCAGCAGGGACATGGACCCGGCCCCGGTGCCGGCCGGGTCGACCCCGAGCAGGCCGATCGACGGGCCGGCCCCGCTGGCGGCCCCGCTGGACGAGCCTTCGTCGCTCGGGTCCATCAGCATGCTGGCCATGTCGCGCACGCCGGGCGACCGCGACCCCAGCAGATTCGGCGTCGAGACCAGGCTGCTGCATGGGGACCCGTGGCCGGCGGCCGCGCTGCCGAGGCCGCCCCGCCGCCGGGATGCCGCCGACGCCACCAGCGCGATGACCGAGTTGGCGTCCAGGTAGAGCAGTTGGAAGAGGGCAAGCGCCCGGGCCAGGGAGGGATGCTCGCCGAAGGCGGGCGACGCACCGCCGGCCATGGGGTCGGCCGCGGCCACCACCCGGCCGGTGCCCGCCGGAACCGGGACCTCGGCGAAAATCGCCCCGAGGTGCTGCTGGATGTAGAAGACATTGAGTGTGAGCTGACCCGCGGCCGGCGCCGGCCGTGACAGGGCGAGAGCAAGGCCCAGGGAGGAGGACAGAGGAGAAGGGAGGGAGGGAGGGAGGGGGGGGGGCGGGACAGGCAGGCACGGGTAAGCCACATGTTGCGGGGCAAAAAATGCACAGGACAACCAGGGAGGGCCAACGTACCCGCAAAACACCCTGGCGGTTGATGTAGTGAATGTACTGCGAGCTGTCGATCAGGGACTCGGCGATGCACATCGGCAGGCCGTAGAAGACGAAGCGCAGCGCCGGCCGGGCCAGGGTCGGCTGCAGCAGGGCGAAGGTCCCCTGCAGGGCCGAGCAGATGGTCCGGATGTTGACATCGGCCTCGACACCATGGCGCACGCCCCGGTGGGGGGTGTAGTCGCCACGGCGGATCCCTCGCGAGGCGTATACACAGGCCATGCGCAGGATCGAGGACCGGACGACAAAGAGGAAGCGCTTGGCCAGGGAGTGCAGGTTGTTCAGGAGGGCTGTGAAGGAGCTGTGTGGTGCGACGAACGCCAGGCGGAGGGCAGGCAGAAGGAGAGCGGAGAGAGAGAGAGAGTGGCATGGGTGAGTGGGGGCGAAAGAGAGGGAAGGAGAGACAAGGAGAGAGAAGGAGAGGGAGGGAGAGGGAAAAAGAGAGGAAGACAGAAGGGAGAGACAAGGAGAGAGAAGGAGGGAGAAGGAGAGACAAGGAGAG